TTTTTTTTTTTTTTTTTTGTATTTTTTGTAGCATTCTTAATAGTTTTAATTAAACTTAATTATCTGAATTAAAATGTGATCTAACGTTTAGTTTTAGTATTTTCTATGCTTGTTTCATTATATATCCTTTTTAATGAAGTTGATTCATACAAACTTGTGTTTATTTTGTAAGTAGACGGAATTGATTCATATAATTTATTCAAACTAGCCTAAAAAAAATTTAGGGTATATTAATTTAAAATACTTCAAATTATTATTATAATCATGATATGGCATTACAGCAAATAGATTTTTTATGACCAAAATCAGAAGTCTTAGATAGGTCTGTTACTAATCATAATTGAGAAACATGGTATAGTTACTGCAAAACTTATAAGTAGTTACCAAAGGTGTAGGCATAGATTATTCTTGGAGATTTATAAAAATAATTCCTCCCATATCAAATAGTCTAATTTAATTTATATATAAAAAAAAATAGTTCTTGAGGTTTACCCCCATACTTATGCCCTAGTAAAAAATTTCATTTTTATTATTGACTGACAAGATGTCATTAGTGACTAAAAATATAAAATTTGGTATAAAGGGAAGTCTTAAAGTTTAATTAAAAATAGTAAGTTTTTCAAAATAATGAAATAGCAAAAGTCATTTTAAGGATGGCGGGCGTTCAGTGATATTTTTGTGGCTAATGAAAATTAGGTATTTTGGTGGCTAAGGTCAGCAAACAGGATTGATATCTTCAACAAAAACCTAACAGAAAAAAGACCACATTCTAACCTCCCAAGAAATTTGGCTATCAAAATAATGATATCTATATTATAGCCAAATCTATATCTTTTAGTTCATAAACTTTTATGAACAACAACATATTATTATTTGTATCATACGACACCTGACCAGTTTATAGGTAAATAATGGCTCAGTACTTTTGTGAATGATGGAAAGGAGTAAACTAAAAAAAAAGGTTAATAAAGATCCTTCCCTTGGGATTAATTATAAATTGTGGTCAAGTTTGTTTTATGCCTCAATTAGAAATTGGCTAAGTTTTAAGCAATACAACTAAAAGATTAGCGCTACTTATAAAATTAAAAGTTATGTATGAATTTAAAAAAAATACTTTCTACAATATAGATATTACTACAATAAAGGGGTTTTAAAATTGATTGGGTCAAATAAATGACACTGTACTGTGTTCCCTTAGTCACACATAATGCTATCAACCTATATGAATATGTATCGAGATCTGAATCATAAATACAAGTTTGTGTCTACAACGCAATATATCGCGAGTTCTAATCGCGTACTATGCCTTTTTTTTTCACAAAATTTCCAAGGAAGATTCATATCATATTATGTGTGGATGTAATACCCTAGCCATATTAAGATATAACACTTAGAAAATTATTTTCCCCCCAAAAAAAAAAATCAAAAACGTAAAATCCAAAGATACATAATTCCGCTAAAGAGAAAGGACTTTTTAATCATTTATAAGAGTGGTCTAGTAGGATGTTCTTTATATATTATTAGGTATACAAATAATAATAAAAACACTTTGGTGGAAAAATTTTAATGACAAAACCATATTAATAAAATTTGGTAGGTGTGCACAATTGATCTACAACTCTGAATACTTGGGCAGATAAATAGAAGTGTTCAAGGATTGTTAACGTATAGATAACTCAAAAAAAGCTCAATATCATAAAAACTATACACTGGTTGCATGTATTATATGCACATAATTTTTATGTTCTTAAAATATTGTGGTGTCATTACAGACTACTTTATACTATAATAATATAATAATATAAAGTAATCAGTGATGGTACCAAAAATTTTGCAAGAGGTAAGCCAGGCAATGATCAATTTTTTAGGGTGAATGATAACTCAGTTTCTTTCAGGAATAAAGATAAAATATTAGAAGTGATAGAATGTAAGCTTACAAACTTGATCACAAGTCATTAAAATCATAATTTTTCAAATAAAAAATGTTTTAAGAAAATACTACTTACTCTTAGTATTGTTAACAGATATTTTTCATTTGTCAAAAAAATTTGTCTTTTATCTGGTGTAACATTAACATCAACTTGAGCTCTTTCAATTAATATATTAAGATAAACAAATGGATACTGATTCTGGTTATACTGATGATAAATTTCATTTACAATTTTTATTATCTATATTGTAAAATAAAGATAAAATAAATTAAGTCATATTCTTCTTCTTTTTACTCAACTTAATCCCAACTACTTGGGGTCGGCCACCCTTATCCTAAACATTCACTAGACATGATGATCTCCCACATCAGCCGTCATCATATCGTATTCAATTATATCCCTCCAACTCTTTTTTGGTTTTCCTTTACCTCTTTATCTTTCAATATTCAAATTTTATAATTGTTCTTACAGCTTCCAATTCCTCTCTCATAATTCAATAAATTTATGGATCAAGAATCTCAAATTTTTTTAAGTTACAAACTAATGTTTTTATTTAACAGAACCCATATATTTCATTCTTAGTTGTTGATATTAAACAAGACACTACAGTAATATTTAGAACATTTAAGATAATACATATAGTAAATTAAGAATGTATATTTGTTTTAAGTGTTAAGCCACACCTACCACTTTTGGTTCTAAGATTGATGATCATTCAAAATATTAAACAGAGGTTAAACTTCACACAAACATATAGTATTTATTAGAAAGCAAAGAGTAAACTACAACACTTAATTTTCCTTTGCCTAACTAAAATTGACCTAACTTCTTATCGTTTAGCTACAAAGTTATGATAGATAAATTTTTATTTATATTACCTTTAATGGTTCACATGGTCGCGAATTAATAAAATAAAACTGTCTATCTTTCGAACTTCTGCCGCAACTGTGATCACAGTTAGATATATATCCATCAATTTCAAAAAAATGTTGTGTTTCAACATATATTTCTTCAGGAATAACTTTTTTGATAACTAATAAATTGCTAGTCTACATATTTTAATAAAATATATATATTACTTCATAACACAAAAACAATAATAAATATTAACATTAAAATTTATTAAACTTATAACATTTTTGCACTTATAATTGCAGATATTTAACAAAGCTAAGTATAATATTCATTAATAATTTTTAACTTTTTTAATTATTTGTATGATATATTGTAAGTATAATTCTTTAGTTTTATATAATCTCCCTTGCTATTAACATCACACAATTTGCAATAAATGTTCTTATTCTCCATAACTGAGAAAACTCCCAAAATATTAAGATTATTCATGTTGGAAAACACTAATGTTTCTTTATACTTTAAGCTTCTATAGGAAGCTTTTAAGCTTCTATAGGAAGCTAAGAAAATAATAACTTTACTATATGACTATAGCTCTTACTATATTTTGCTCAACAGTATGTAAAAAATCATAAACCATATCTACTTAAAGACATTAACTATAAAAATTAAACAAATTTCATTCATTGTCTGTAAATGAGGGAATCTACTAAAATTTTATGACTATTAAAAAGGTCATTTTTGTTATATTTTAAAAACTTTTTTTATTTTAAATTATTATGACTTTTTTGAAATTCAATTATTCAAATCAAAGCTTCTTTACCAAACATCTTGAAATGTCAATTTCAATTAAAATCATATAAAATTAAAATATGCATACAAATTTTAAACATTACATTACATTAAAATGCTTAACAATTTTTGAAAAATTAATGTACCAAAAAAATGTACCTGCTTTGAACCAAAAATACAAGATATATTTTCTAAAACAGTACTTCTTCCATGTGTTGAAAGAAGAATGTTGTTGAGAGTTTTTGATTGATTGGAACACAAAATTCTAAAATATTGAACAACTAAATATTTATTGAAAATTAAAATATTAAATAGTTTACTTGACTGATGTTGCAACCAAACAATAACCTGTAATCACCTGAATCATTTTTCCAAATTCTTTTTTTAAATTTCTTTGAAATTCTTTATGACGAACAGGTAATGTTGAAAACAAATTTAACAAAGTAACTGTAGTGCCAACCTAATTTATAATAACAATGAATTACTTTTACTTACATAAAAAATACCTTATGGAAAAAAAATAAATCACCTATTTCTCTTAATTAAGTTTTAAGTTTTTACTTATATTCTATAGTGATGGATGAAATTACTAAAGAAATACAAAGAGAGGTATTGTGGTGAATGTTGTTCGCTGACGATATAATGTTAATAGAAGAAAATTAATTACAGACTAGAGGTGTGGAGATCAGCTATTGAAGGGAAGGAATGAAGAATAAGTAAGAGTAAGACAGAGCATATAAAGTACGAATTTAACAAAGGAAAAACAAAAGTAAGTGAAATGAGACAATCAATGACAATCAGCGAAGACGATAGTAATGGTAATAGTAATGGTGGAGTTTTGAATATTTAGGATAAGTTATGTATAAAAACGGTAGTATTGACGAGGATGTAAGACACATGATTAAATATGGATAGTTGAAGTAGAAAGAAGCATCTGGTGCATTATGCGATAAGAGAATTCCAATAAGGCTGAAAGGTTAGAGTGTTGTGGGGCATTTGACAAGAGAATAGAGCATTAGTGTAAGGATAAGGAACTATCATGTAGCTTTTGGAATAATCCACCAATTTTTTAAAATTAAACACTATCTAAAGATTTGCATCGAAGCGTTTTTTTTTTATAGTGATTTTAATCATTGTTAGATATTATTATACTTGATCCAACTATGCCACGTCACCACTGTGCCGCAACCCCCCTGTGATGGGTTTTTTTGTGTTAAAATTCTCGATTTTATATTTTACATTTTTAACTTTAAAATGCTATAACTTTTTGAAAAATGTATGGATCAATACAATCATTAAGGTCACCTTTACACTACATATGAAGACTAATATGTTATTACATACTTGTCTAGGATAAGGAACTTGACTTTTTATAAGACCTTGATGATCAAATACTAATTTAGTGCCACATATCTGAGAAGAATGTTTAGTTATAACTATAACATCACTGAGAGCACACAAAGAACTCAGAGCTTCTCCTCGAAAGCCAAATGTTTCAACTGAACTCAAATCAGAAAAATCTTGAATTTTAGAAGTATGATGTTTTAGACCTACAATTTTTCAATTAAAAATCACAATTTAAAAATACCATAATTTAATAAAAATTATAAATTCATTTACCTAGTCCTTCGAAATTATCAGGATGAACTCCAACTCCATTATCTATTACTTCTATCAAATCCTTACCAAACTCTTTTAACTTTATTTCAACAAATAATGATTTAGCATCCAAGCTGTTTTCAATTAATTCTTTTACTGCAGTTGCTAAATTAAGAACAACCTAAAAATGAAACAGTAAAATATATTTTTCTCATTGTATGGTATTTTCAATAATCTCTTTGTTATATTGATAATACAGAGTTCTTAATTAATAAGAAAGCTTAAATTTAATTTTCTGAAATGGGAACCTCTATATTTAACTTAATAATATGATAGAAAAGTAAAATCACAAAATTATTTGACCTTACAATTATTTTTATTCGATGGACTATTACAAAATTTTAATATATTTAATACTACACCCTTAGTATATATACACTCTATATGTTAAAATAAAATTATTTTAATAATTTTATAAAATTATATTTAAAAATTTTATTGGTATCTAAGAAAATAATCTACTTAAAATCTATCATGCTATCTATATATCTATCACAATAAAGTATAACATTTTAAAATATTTTTACTAGCCAAAAATTTTAAGTGGCACTTAAAGAGCAAAAACAATTTCTAATTATGAAATAAAAGAAAAACACAATATCATTTTCTAGCTATACATGAATGGGTAATCAAATTGCTATATGCACAATGGACCAACAGGTTCGAGTGCATGAGAATTGTGTCCACCTCACTAATAACTAATCAAATTTATTCTATTTGATGATGTTAGCTTTATATTTAAAACTATTTAATATAAAATATGCTCTAAGTAAAGAAATATATATTCTTAGAGTTACTTTTTATAAAAAAGAAAATACATAAAATGTTATATAGTTTTTATATCAAATTATTCATCTATTCCAACCCATTCAATTACCTACAAAATAAAAATGACATTGGAAATTTTTTAATTTCAAATACTTTTTTGATCTACCCCTTTATCTTATATGGGTATTAACTATATATTATTTAATGGCAACATACATATTTAACTAGCATATAAAATAGAAGAAAATCTAACAGAACCAGTATTTTGGAAGTTACTATCATTTTAAAATATAGTCTATTGATAAGATACTGATTTTGATTATTTTTAAATTAATATTTTTATGTCTAGACAAAAAAAAACAGAAATTTGTATTGATGAATTATATATTTGTAAGTTATCACAAGAATTAAAAATTAAATTTAAAGATGATTTAATTGATTTACTCATCAATTGATGAGTAAAGTCAATTCAGTTTGATCTAAAATCCAATAACTAAATAATAAAAATTGAAAAATGTATTTAAAAAATTTTAATTATTAAAAATAATAGAAACACACAATAACCATTATTTGTTTAGCACTATAATTGAAAATTAATTTGTCAAAATATATATTTGCAGTTTTTAATTAAAACTACTTTTGTTACTTTAGACTTAAGTATTTTTTACATTTTATAATCTCGATTTCCCAACTAGTTCCTAAGGTTAGAAAAAAAACAAATTTTATGTTTAATATATACCCAAATAATAATTTATAAAGTCAAAAAAAATTTTTTTCCTTTTTAGTCTTTTTACAATAAAATGTTTCGTATACGCAACATTGGGATTAACACTTAATTAATTAAATAATTGATTAATGCACACTATTCAGTGTGAAATTATTCAAAAAAATATGCATGAAGATGCATTTGAGACACAAGATTATTTTTAAATGTTTCGTTTACGCAACGTTGGGGAATAATGGGGTAATATTTTTATTTTGAATAATATTAGCCATAATTGTACATTAATTTTCATTAATTAATAAAATTAATAACACATGATAGAAAACTTTAATTTCATAATGAAGTTAAAATAATAAAGATTATTAATTTGAATATCACCTGTCCAGAACAAATTTTGTGAATATCTAATTTGCTTATTGGTTTAATTGCACTAGACATAATTTATCAAGTTAATAAGAAAATGTTTATAATAGCAGCAAAAAGATTTTAATGTATAATAGCACGAATAAATTAATCATTATACATTATGCAAACTCTTATGGAAGTACAAAAAATCTAATATTCTCGATAATTAATAAAAGATGTCTTAACTTATTTTAAATAGAATTTATTTATTATATTAAATAAATCTAATCAAATTGCAAAAATTAGCGGTAAAATAGTGAATTATTATCAGCCAATAACGCTGGATGCAAAAATAGATAGTATAGATAAGATAAAACCAGATCGCGCACCTTCTATTCAAAACGTGTAATTCTTAAAATGTAAGCAAACCAAAATCTGCCTCATATCAGTATTGCCACTTATAGGAAAAAAAAAGTTTGTATGAGAATTTATTATTTTTCAACTATGCATCACAAACTTTTTTTCATATGATATAATTTTTAAAAAAAATTTCATATAGTCTATGAATGCATTACTGACTTTTATTATTTGTTACGACAAATTTATTAACACTTTCCAGTTCCATTTCATTTTTGCGATTTTGATATATGAACACTCATTTTATATTTTAAATTTATTAATTTATTGATAACTTTTACGCAATTTTTTGGTTATTGTTGTATAATTGACACGGAATAAATGAAAGCAACACAATATTTCTAGATTGAAAATTGACATAAAGCCGTTTATTTTCACTAATAAACAAGTATAACACACAAAAAGACAAACAAGAATAATGCACGAGATCGAATTAGTTAACCAGTTTCCAATGGCGTAGTTGACGACGTGCGGAAAAAAAAATAATATTCGAACGATTCGTGTCATTAGGTGTCACGAAGATGACTTCAACGTATATTCAGTGATTACATGTAGTCTGCATAGGTGTTCAGTAAGTAAGGAAACGTATTTCTATTGTTTTAACAATTGATCCGTTTCTTTAATCACTGGACATATTGAATAGCAAATAAACCATAGACTTCATATAGTAAGTGATATATTTGCGACATGTCGTTATTGACTGTGCGGCATTTGTTGGACTTAGTACCACAGAATAAACAGAATGGACACTAATAAAAATTTACATGGTCAATATAGGGAGGTGATTAGAATCAGTCCACCATTTTAATGTAGGTAAATCAGTATGACCACTTTTCAACACTAAAATTGTGAATACCTTTTTCAAAATTTAAAGTAACAATTTTAATTATGATATTTATAAATAATAAATAGTGATTCTTGTTCTATTAAATTATATATTTTTTAAATATTTCATACAAAAACTTCAATTTTTTTTTATTAATTTCGAATAAATTATTTTATAAAATACAACATAGTAAAATTAATACTTTCTCAGATTTTCATCAAAGCTAAAATCAAAAAAGAATCAATCAATGTAAAAATAAAATTGCAAAATCATCATACATATTCACCACATAAATTTTACAATAATTACATAATTAATAAGTTAAAATATAATATAAATATTTTCAAATAATCTAAAACTTGTAAATGTATTTTATAAATGTGCAAGAATATCAAGTTTCCTATGTTTTCTTGGTTTTGATAAATATTTTTGTTTAAAAATTTTAAAGAATGAAATATTCTCAGTCTTATGTAAAGATTTTTTAAAAACTCATAATCAAAGTTTGGACATGGATGCTTAAAGGCAATATTACTTATATAATTTCTCATTTCTTTTCCTACATTATTATTTACAGCAATTATTGGAAATTCTACAAAAATATTATCTAATTCACTAATATAATTTACAAACTCATTAGGTGTATATATTTTCATAATGGTAAGCCTTAAAATATGTAAAAAAAAGATTCATCTAACTGATTTTGAGATTTAGCATAACTAATACAAATATCTCAATTATGTTTTTTTAGTGATTTCTTAACTAAATAGCCACATACATAAGTAAGGGCATTTACAGCAGGAAAATTTAAAACACAGTAATCAACCTTATCAACTTGTAAATTTTTAAAATTTCTCAGGATTAAATGTAATAAGACTGTTTAATGGAGGAGCAACATCACTTGAATTAGTTAATATTTCATCTAAATCATTCAGACAATTTAAACCCTCTTAGACTATTTGAAAAAATTTTTTTGAATGTCTTAAGAAACTCAATAGGAGTGGAATTGATATTATTACCACATTGATTGCAGAAATTTCCAGATAGATTTTCCATGCAATCTTGGTTCAATCTATAAGTACTTAATGAAAATTCAGGTTTTTTAATGTCATCCCACAATTGAAATAAAGAATTGATGGTAATTTGCCATCCTTTTAAAAATTTTACCCGTTGAGTTACAATATTATATACAATTTGATTATTTAAAATTTTTTTTTCAAGATATGCATATCTTTAAAAATACTTAGCATATATAATAAATGTCCTCTTTGACTTAGAGTATTTTTATAAGGCTGATTAAATTCTTTACAAATTACAATTGGCTTAGAGTTTAATATATCAAACAGTTTATCCATATCTTCAATAAACTGTATGGTAAATTGTGAATCAAGTGGCAATATTCCACCTTCTACACAACAACGCATACCTGATGCTACTGTACCACAAAAAACTTGACTGGCATACTGTACTCTCATTTTTTGAAAGGGACCAGGATTGATGTGTGCATCAGTTAGTTTGGGGGCTAAAAGGTAAAGACTTTGATCACAAGTATAAAAATTATCAAGAAACTTTTTATCAGTTATACAATTCAAAAATTTAAGATTATACTTAAAAAAATTATTTCTTGTAGATTTCAACAAATGGGGAGCATCAAACACATAAAATATCTTTTGTTGATTCACAAAAAAGTAAGGCCGTTCAGGTGGCACATTCATTTTACTATCAAAGCTAAAAAAATTTGTACCTTAGTCAGATGTTATGACTCTTACTCTTAATGAAATACTCTGTATTTTGGATATCACAGCAAAAATAGTTTTTTATAAGTAAACGCCATTACAGGTATTTCTTATAAAATAGTATGCTATAGGTTGTTTCCAATTATAATTTAGGCCTCTCAAAATAAAACATAGCACATGTTTAGCAGGTTGATATGATTTTTGGTCATAAAAATTATTAAACCCCACAATGTAATCTTTTGACAAATTATAATATAAATGAGTCTTAATAGACATTTCATCAATACATAAAACACAGTCCATTGCATCATTCTTAAAACTATTGACTAAGATTCAAAAATTAAATCATTTAAACCTGGTACTATATCTAATTTCTCTGTTATTCTACGGAGAGTCCATGTACTAGGTAATTGCAATATATTTTTCAAAAACCTATAAGCCTGAGGCCCGAAAAAATATATAGTTAAAGCAAGCTGCTTAAGCTCTTTAGTATAACGATACCCTTGAGATTTCTTTTGAGCAACATTTACAAAATTTTTTATAATTAGTGACAAATTAGGAGATAAATGTATATCACACATTTCATAAAAATAATTGACAGAATTTAATTTAGCAGATACTAGTTGACTTAAAAAAGTAACCTATTTCTGAAGTTCAGCACATTTTTTTTTCACAAGTTTCACTTCATCTCTCAATTTTTTTTTCTGGGAGTATGTAAAGAAAACAACTGAGGAGTTTAAGTTGATGATGAGGAAGCTGGGCTATCCTGCATTTCATATTCTACCAATATGGAATAACCAGTATAATTATTAATAAATAATTTTTGACTAATGAATGGTTTCAAAAAAAAATTATCTCTATTGAAATAATGATAAAATAATAAACCAACTATTTTCTTATAAATTTACATTTTATAGTTAAAAAATATCATGTTCTTTAATATTTTTAAATAAAATGAGAAATATTAAACTTAAATTAAATTAATTAAAAATTTGAAAGGACAATTTTTATATTTTACCTTCCAGAGGATTTGGCAAGTTTGGTGGAGTGATATTCCCCTCACATACATTAAGTGTATCTTCTACATCAGCCGTATTAATTTCTATGATTTTAAAACTGTTTAATTGTAATTTAAATAATAAAACATTATATACCCAATTAATACTTATGAACTTTGTAGGGACAGCAGTAGGAAGAAGTCTAGTCTTTACTGGGTTAGAAAACATTAGGTTTGAAATTAACATTGCAAACCATATAATACTTATTTAATGTATTACTTCATTTGTTTAACAAATCATTTCTGTTGCAATTTTGTAACCATTCTTTTTATTTATTGAATAAATTTAAGATTTTTTAAGATACAATTATTATTTTTATTAATTTATAATAAAAAAAACTAACCGAGGAAAATCCTTTGGTATTTTTAACATTTTACAATTTTCATTTTTGGTAGCAATTCTCGAATTATTGCATATTTGTACAATTCAAACATAAACCATTTTATTAATTATTGTATAAAAGATTATGAAAATTAATGAAATAATAATATAAAATGATTAAAAGTAAAATTCTTATTATATATATTTATACTCAGCCGGTATTATTTCTTATCATGTCAAGAAAAATGATAATATCATTACCTACAATAAAATGGCTGCTAATTTTTTTTTACATATCGAAGTGTTCATAGCCTGTTTGTATCATGGCGTATAACATATTGTGTTTGTTAGACAAATTATTTTATTCACGTAGTTGGACGGCGGCTGACAAAGATGGCACGGGTCGTGGGATTGTATCAATATATTATATAGAGTGATTAAGGATAATATACTTAACAATTTTCTTGGAAACTATTAAAAATTAAAATTTTAGCACACGAAAATATTTGATTTAAAAAATTCTATAATATGAAGTTTGGTACATGTTTTACATAATAATCACTGTCACCAATCATACATAATGTTTGCCAAAATTGTTTATTAGTGACTTAATATAATATTAAGTACTCTGTACTTATTTATTATATTATTTAAAATTATTTAATTATGTGACTCCGGTAGTTATTATACAATATAACCACAAACTATATGAAAACAGATAGTTCACTTGGCCCGATACAAAACGGTGTATTGATTGGAAGAAGTGAAATTAGTGCAACCATATGTTTGAGCGCAAAAATTCTTTTAATTTATATCTGTAGTGAATCAAAAAAAGAAAAAATAATATAAAAAACTTTACATGTAATAATGTATTATTTTAAGGGATTATTAATTTAGGGAGCTACTTTGACAGTTGCTTAAAAGAAATAAGTTAAATAGAATATGACGGGATTTGGGTTCTTATTTGATCCACTACTTTATTGTATTAATAATATTATTACTCGGGGTATGAGTACGAGGGTCTGTAAGAAAGATAGAAGATTATAGAAAAATAAAGTAATCTTTATTTTATTAATATGGGATTCATTATAATTAATTGTCAATTTTTTAAATATCAATAATGCCACGAGTTTTGACGGTTATCGATGATAGGTGGGATTGAGTCACCTCGTGTGTCTACCCAGAGTGGTATGGTGGCTATACATATGTACCTCCAACCTAACTCCTGAAATAGACACGTATCAACGATATAACTCTGCCAAGTAACTCTGTACAAACATTATCGATTTATTAAATTTACTTGGTATATTTATTATTATTGATAATCACTTGATTTTCCTGTATGCCTACTTAATCTATGTACTCATAAAATTTAATTCTAAACCTTATTTATTTTTGGTGAATTTATTAGATTCCTACCTTGATATTTTCTGCGATACTCTTAAATAAATAGATGTTGTATTTTGTGAACAAATATAATTGTGTTGACGGCGGATCACTTCTTGCATATACTTCGTTGTGTGGAATGATCGAGCGTAGTGAGTGCCTCTGTGAATATCTGACTGCATCTCTCTCAGAATGCTCTTTATTTTTGGCTTTTTATATTAAATTTAATCGTAGTTCAAAGGCAAGAAGTAATCCCCGACGCCACCGTTATTTCTTTATTAATCGTAATTTATTACATGTTATTTATTACATTTTCATCAATAATGATCTACATATTATAAAATACTATCATATCTTATATAATAATTTAGACATAGTTTATTACCCTTCATCTTATGTGCTACCATTACATATTGTTTATTATTTCCTGTTTGTTTTATATAATTAATATATACTCTTTTTCTACGAAATTTCATTAGTATTTTTAAACATTTAAAATGTACATATATATATCTTATTTTTATTGGTATACATTTTATTTTGTGTAATTGATTGATTGAAGTCTTAAATAATACATTATGACATTAATGATCTAATGTGTATACAAATAATTTATTATGACATTAATGATGTACTATGTATATCATTACATATCATTATTAAATCTGCTGTAGCATAAATATTATGAAATTCCGTAAAAAATTATGATTATTGACATAACTTATTTTAATACATCATTAAATTAAGGTATTAAACCCATAATCCCTCATTTAGCCATATTCATTACCTTTTCATGACTAAAAATCCCTAAATTAGTCATGAAAATTAAATAATTCTCAGTTTTTATTATGTAAATTATTAACTACTTAAATTTGACTTAAGCAGTTACAATTATTTTGGTTTCTGTACACGAATACAAATTAAGAGAGCTATAGATGCAGGCTTCCTATTTTAGTAGACTCTGAAGTAAAATTTCTATAAGAGAAGAAACGATTTTAAGTAGTAATTGAAATCAATTTTATATGTTATAATTAATTACGAACTATTCGGCCGGCAAAATGTAACCCCCTACATTTAGATACCTCAAATACATTTACTTATGTATATTTGTTTACCTATCCCAACCATGAACCTGTTCTAGTCCTGCACTAGTTAAAATGCAGGGTGCTATTGTTCTATGACAATAGCGTAAATGTACTAGATGACTAAGGTACACAGGTAGAAACCATTACTCAGTTTTCATGTAGTCTGTGGTATAACTTTGGCTCCTGGAATTATTTGGAAATTCTCGTCAGTAACAGACGGTCCGTATTTTAGGCCATCCCCGAAAAAATATCATAGATAAATGGACTTTCATTTATATCATTCTGTTTCACTTTATACCAGAATATAATCTAGATGCAACTTTTTTCTATTGTTAAATCTTTCTAAAACATAGCAAGGGTCCATAAATTAAAATTTGTATCCATTATATACAAATCAAACATATTACATATTCTTAAATCACTACTAAGTCATCTTTAAAATTTATCGTTTTCATTTTTAAAATAACTAGCAACCGTTTTTTTCAATTCAAATTCAATTGTATTATAACTTTTTAAAAATAACATTTTATAAACAATTTTTAATCAACCTGTCTGATATACAACATTGTTAAGAATCCTCGAATATTAATTTGTTATATGAATAATATATATTATATATTATTCATATAAATAATATTATTATTTATACTGTTTAATTGAAAATAGTAGTGCCTTTACATCAACAGAACTTAAAATAAATGTCGAAAATGTAAAGTATTGTATTATGTTATCAAAATATTATACGTGTTGGCAAGCATGAAAAGTGATTATATGTGGGTTGGCTTTTTTCAACTTCCGTTGAAAAATACGGATAATTATATGATTTTCCATGAATTTTATCAGTTGAATATAATCACAGTTCATAATTATATTTTTACGTGCAATGTGTTTTGATGAGATTTAGATAGTTTGTTGATTAACAATTCAGTTATGTAGTATCTTATACTTGACTTTTTTTAAAGCAATTTTACTGTGTAACATTATTTTAGTAGTTATTATAAACTTCAAAATGGTCAATCCAATTGAAATACCATTAAAAGATTCTGATGAAGTGAGTAAATTATGATATTAAATCAAAGATAATGCAGTATATATTATTTTTAGTTACTATTTTAATCAAGGAATATGAATGATAAATTATAATAAATATAATAAAATTAAAAAATATATATAAAATATTGGCAGTTAATTGTAATTATTACTATCAAAAATATTATTTTTTAACTTCAAATAAAAATAATTAAATATTAAATATGTTATTCATTTTTATGTTATCACTTGCTGAATTAAAAAAAACTTAATTCAAAATTTTTTAGTTTAACTTTCAAGTAGTCATAATTGTTTCTTGTAAAAGGATATTCTTTGAATGTACTGTGCTGTGTGGGTATTTTAATTGGACCATATTTGTTTGAAGGTAGTTAGATCAAATTTTGTTCTTTTCTATGTTGTTTATTAATATTATGAGATACATTCTGCTACATTTTATTGGTACCAGTATTATTCTATACGTGTAGAATGGCGAAAAACAGTTGATTTTGAATGGGACACTTCTTATTTTTGTTCTATAAATAATAAGAGACTTAGTAAAAATTTAAAGCTGGACAATTTTTTTTTTACTAATGTTAAAAGTTTATACTTTTTTTGAAATTTTTTTATATCATTAAAAATAACGTTGTTTTAAAATATATGTAATATACTTGAAATGATACAAAAATTATTGATTTATATTTCAGTTAATACATTTCCTCAAAAATTTATTTTAATTATTTACTATATTTTAACATAAGTAAATTATAAGTTAAGTTAGTATATTTTACTTTCACATTAAAACCTTTATTTTATATTTAGGTTTAATTCATTTTTATCTTAGTAGTATTTTGTTTAATTTTGTAAAATCCATCAACTATGCAAACTGTTATTAATTGTAATTTCAAAATGCAAGTTGATTAGACAATTTTAACTCTTACCAGCTCGGTGTTAAAAATTTTACTATAAATGTAGTTTTTTGGTTACTTGGATATAATTTTTAGAAAAGCACTCCCAGAAAAATAATCAGATTGTTAATTATAGATATAAATTTTTTTATATATATTTTAAGGACTTACAATTTTTTTAATAAATTCATCAGTTTTTCTGGAATATTTAGAATACACACAATTTTTTCAATTTTTCAAAATAAAAATATTTTGAGATTTTCTGTTATATTTCATGATAGTTTACAGTTACAAATATATATTTTGTATGAAAAACATTTATTAAACATTTTTTCTATATTAAAATGTATTAAATAATATATTAGTTAATAAGTTTATACCCTAATAGATAATAATTTAACACTAGTAATTTGACTGCATTAACTTAGAACAAATACATACTCTCAGAACTCAAAAATAAAATGCTGATTATTACTGTTGTGTAAACTTTGCTAAAATTTATTATCTGAATTTAGTTAATTGTATTATAGTAGTAATCAAGATATTTAAAGCAATGTTGATTATTTAAAAAAAAAAATTGTTGAGTCCTAATTTTTAAGTAATTCTTTTACAAATTATAATTTGTAAAAAAATTAATCTCTCTAGCTTTATTTAGAAAAAGATATTTTCTATTTGTACTGAAATTTGGTACTAAAGTCCAATATATTGCTATGGCCATTTATGGATCTAAAAAGCTAAAAAATGTCAATGAGGAGATCCAAAAATATATAAAATATTTATTTTTCAAATTTGAGTTAATTAAAATTGATTGTCCTGTAAAGAAATCTTTTGACATATAATAGAAACATATGATAACTGCAATAAAAAAAAATTAGTTTTAGTATACAATTGTCAAACAAAATAACTTAGGAAATCATTTGATAATTTTTTTTATTTTATCTTTAGATATATAAATTTATTAATAATAGTATAGTTGAATTTTATTGAAAAATCTTTGAAATCTCAATTTTTGAAGTCATTTTGTATTCTTCAGAATCAGCTGATATATATTATTGTACTATCAATATTATTTCAATTTACCACCTTAACATTAAAATTTGGTAAGACACTCATTTTCTCCAAAACTTTGGAGAATAATTTCTCCAAAGAGAAAATTTTTTTTTAAAATTTACATTACAAAATCAGTGTTGTTGTGGCTTTAAAATATTTTTAAATATAGTTTGAACTAATGTTTTATTTTATTTTTTAATAGTGGGATTAATTTAGATGAATTTCCAATGAGATGAAAATAAGTCACTATTTAAAGAGGTATTGAAAAGATATGTGATTGGTGGAAAAAGAATAAATCTACAATTGAATAAAAATATAGGGGATAAACCTTTAGGGCCAATAGGTTTTTTATAAGAGAGAATATATGACTTAAAGAGTTTAATATGAAGTATATTTAAATGATCTATAGATTTGAATATATTAAACTTAAAATTCTATTTTGTAGAAACTATCTTTATATACTGAGAGAAATATTGGCTAAATATGTTAATAATTTATTGACCAATTTCACCTATCTTATGGTTAAAAATGATTGATTTGGATAAAACATATAATTTTTATTAGCTTAATAATATAAGATCAAATTTTCTTAGGATAGGGTTTTAGAATATTATTTAAATATTGGGAGTAATATCTAGTCTATTGAAGGTTTTACATTTAGTATGTGTAGATACAAATTTTAAATAATTTTTGTGCAAACTTAACAACTTAAAAATAGAATGTTGCATTTTTTTAAATTTAATTAGACATATTAGGTCTTTAGAAAACTAACAATCAAATTTAGATTTAAAATATATTTTTTATGAATAGAAACGTTTATAGCATAGAAAAGTAGCAAATGAAATTCTTCAGCAATGCCTAAAATGTCATCACAAATTTTGAAAAAATTGATCCAGTTAATTGAATCTAGGAAAGATATAGGGGGAAATATAGATCTATTAAAGTATGTCTCCTTTTGGATAATTTGATATGTCATAAAAAAGTTTCTATACCATCTTACATTGTTATAGTGTTTTATTAGCGATATACAATATGTAAATTGAATACTACTAGTATAATATACTATTAATTCCCAAATCTTCATTTATTATCCTAAAATTATAATTGATCATTGTTTCAAGGGGTTGAATTTTAATTTATATTGTACTTTTTTAAATGTAGCTTTAGTTAATGTTTGAAAAATGTAATCATAAATTTTAAAAATAATACATTAATGGATTTTTTATATTGTTGTTTTTATTAAAACTTTCTAAACAATTTTATTGTATTTTAGGTTATTGAAATACAGTTAGATAAACTACCAGAATATGATGAAGTATTAGGCATATTGAAATCTGAACATTCGAATCTACATATTTGGGTTAATTTAGCAGTAAGTATGTACAAAAAAAATAGTAATAATAACAACTAAAAATACATTTTTTTTATTAGTTGGAGTATTATAAAAGAGGTAATTCAACTGCACTAGTGAGATTGTTGGAATCATCACGTAGTAATGCTAGCTTAGAGTATAAAGATAGTGATAAAGATCAAATGAGAGCTTTAGACATGTTGGCTGCTTATTATGTGCAGACAGCTAACAGAGAAAAAAGTAAAGACAAAAGACGTGAGCTTTTTACTAAAGCTACACAACTTTATACTACAGCAGATAAGATAATCATGTATGATACGGTAAGACTGTGTTACTTAATTTAATCATAGAATTAAGATTTATACATAATTATATACCAAATATAACAATGTAAATATTGGAATATTCAAGAGCTAGAAAATTTTAAAACTAAAAAATATTTCTATAATAATAAATTTTAAAAGTCACAAAAAAAAAATTAAAAAAATTGTGTATACTTATTTTGTGAACAATGTTACCATTATCAGTGCATAACACATACTAACAATCCAAACAAAAAATACTCCCATATATACCTCAAGTGACTTTATCACCTACTTCATTGTCACATTTTGCCAGTTTATACAAGTTTAACAATGAATTTTGCAGTGGGCCTAGATTTCTTCTTCTTTTTCCTCGCCTTAATCCCAACTACTTGGGGTCGGCCTAGATTTCAATTAATTAAATGATTATTATTTTTAAACATTTCTCTTGCTTTCCTTATATTGATTTCTTTGTAATTATTTGATTTATAATTAGTTCTATAATTAGTGATTATTAGGGTGACCCTTAGCTACATGAGAGGTTTTTTTTTTTTTAATATTTGTTAGTGCCACCCCCTAGAATTATTCGAATACATGTAAAAATAAATTGTACGAAATTTGGAGACGATTGGTCAACTCTAAGACGTGCCCCAAGGGGGTTAAAAATAACCCCCCAAGGGTGATTTTTTAGTTTTTTATGTCTATCTCAAAAACTTTAGCTTTTGCGAAAAAGTTTATTGGACCTTTTTTGTAGGTATACAATTTTTCTATAAAAAGTATATATAAAAAAATTTTCGAAAAGTTCTTATTTAGCCCTAAAAAAATAAAAACGTATATGTTCTATTCTTGCCGTTAAAACTGTTAATTTATAATTCGTTCATTATAAAAACATAAAAAAAATTCATTTAACCGTTGTTTTAAATTTAATTTTCTATACATTTTTAAATCGACATTTTTTCTATTATTTACTATTCAAAACCTACAATTTTTTTTAATTTTAATTTTAATTAAAAAAAATACATCAGAGTAAAATTAATACCGTCTCAGTTTACTGAGACTATTTAACTATTTACAAAGAAAAACGTACTAAAAAAATTTACTACAAATTTTAAATAATTTATCTTTTTTAAAATTCTTGGGATAATGTGTATTTATTGCAATTAGGAAAACAAAGCCGGTATTCTGTAACAATCTGTAATAGGTATTATTTTTGTGCTTCGACTTTTGTTAAAATATTATTATACTCTTCTATGAGTTTCACGCACCTCTCTGCCAAATCATTTATAACTTTTAAAATATTTACTATTATTTTTTCTCCGATATATTGACTGTTGTCTTTCCACAACAAAGGATTGATATTTAAAAAATCTGTTTCAATGTCTTACAAATCTTTCAAACAACTTCTTTGAATCAGTTGAAATAAAATCATCTATACTTTTATTTTTAAAATCATAAATTTCATTTACTCCTACTACTATACGTTTGTTTGTACATACATCTTCTTCCCGATTATTTAATGAGTTTACTATTATAATTTTAGTATCTTCACATAAATCATCATCAAAAAATGCCAATGCTGCTGATTGGGATACTAAGTACCATAAGTGACCCGAAATTTTTTTTTAAAACTACTTTAGAAATATCTTTATCTATTGGTTCATAATCAATTATATTTTTAATAAATTTTAAATCTAAATTTGTCGCTAATGCAACATTGGTGCACTTAAATCATTGTTTAATATATAAACTTGCAATAAAAATACATAATGAACGAATATTTAACTCTTTGATTGACAATTTAAATTGGCCCCGAAACAAAAAAATTTTTAAACAATAAATGGCCTTGGCCATCCAATGAGCATGATGGATTGGGCCAGAAATTTTAAAATAAATTCCAAGCAAATGTTAGGGCGTGATATTTTATACTTACCATGCAGACATCACATTTATGAAATTATATTGAAAAGTGTTTTTGAAGTAAAATTTAATACGTCAGATGACGTAAACCAGATGTTCCTATTTTCAATAAATTCCAAAAGTCTTGGCAAAATATAAATAAAACAAATTACTTCAGTGGAATAGAAGATACTGTTATTTTAGAAAAATTAAAAACAAAAAAGACGATATTTTGAAATTTAGTTTTGAACAATTAAAAAATACCAACCTCGAGATGACTATAAGGAACTTTTAGAATTGGTCATAATATTTTTTGGTGAAACGGCATTACATAGAATTTATTTTAAAATTCCTAGCCCAATCCATTATGCTCGTTGGATGGCCAAGGCCATTTATTGTTTGAAAATTTTTTTTGTTTCGTGGCCAATTTGAATTGTCAATCAAAGAGTTAATTATTTAAATAATATTCGTTCATTATGTATTTTTATTACAAGTTTATATAGTTTCTAGTTGTATATAAATTTGTAAGTGAACATTATTTTAGCTTCAATGGTGAAACTGAGACGGTATTAATTTTACTCTGATGTATTTTTTTTAATTAAAATTAAAAAAAATTGTAGGTTTTGAATAGTAAATAATAGAAAAAATGTCGATTTAAAAACGTATAGAAAATTAAATTTAAAACAACGGTTAAATGAATTTTTTTTATGTTTTTATAATGAACGAATTATAAATTAACAGTTTTAACGGCAAGAATAGAACATATACGTTTTTATTTTTTTAGGGCTAAATAAGAACTTTTCGAAAAATTTTTTATATATACTTTTTATAGAAAAATTGTATACCTACAAAAAAGGTCCAATAAACTTTTTCGCAAAAGCTAAAGTTTTTGAGATAGACATAAAAAACTAAAAAATCACCCTTGGGGGGTTATTTTTAACCCCCTTGGGGCACGTCTTAGAGTTGACCAATCGTCTCCAAATTTCGTACAATTTATTTTTACATGTATTCGAATAATTCTAGGGGGTGGCACTTTGTAATTTTTTAATTTTATAAATAAGGGACACCCTAGTGATTATGTGTCAATAAAATTTGAGCCACAGCAGATTTATCAAATTCTTGATTTTTAATGTTTCTTAAATGTTCTTTAAAACTGATCTCTTTTCTTCCTTTTACTTTATCTTTAGGGTTACCTCGTAAATCTTAAAAATTCCAGCTAGCTCATTGAAAATATGTGCATAATATAATATGAGTTACTTAATTACTTTTTGTGCACCACATTAGTGAGTGTACCAGCTGCCCTCTTTTTTTTATTTTACCTTATTGTTCTAACTAATCTTGAAATTAATTTTGAAATTTGATTCGTCATATCCAATAAATCTAGAAAATTTTTTTTATAATCCCCAGTTCTTTATCAAAATCTATTTTATTTATGAGAACTAATTTGAAAACCATACTATTAAAAGTTACCATTTTGTGTTGTTAGCTATTTGTTTGGAATTTATATGAACATGTGAGGATTTTTCCAATAAATATCAAAATTTAATTCCCCTTTCTATTGAAATTAATAAATTCAAAAATGGCAATTTTCTCTTTTCTTTATCTTCATACGTAAATTTAATTAATGAGTAAAAGTAATTTCAGTATTGTATTGTATGAAGACCTCCGTATTCAAATTTTTGTTTTATACTGCAAATATATTATTTATTTAATCCAATAATCTCATATATTTTATCCTGTTCTATGTTTTGTTTCCCTAGCCAGTCTTTAAGAAAACCAATTGATACATACTGATCAAAAGTTGTTAAAGACTAGTAATTTTCTTAGTTATATCACTATCTATTAAATAAGCTAGTTAATTAAGAATGTTGCCATATGAGAAATTAAAGTTGACACTCTTAGATGGTATAAGGGACAAATATAAAAAACTTTATAATTTAAAACAGAAAAAAATATTGACCTAAAAAATAAATAAAAAAATTATTTATATTAGTTTATGTTTAATTAAGTGGTTCATAAGTGAATTACTTTGTTTGTCGAAATATTTAAAAATAAGGCCACTTGTTGAAAGAAATTAACTTATCATTATTTTGAATTGTATAGGCTTACTTAACTCAGTCAGGAATGCATTGTGCTTTGGTGAGACATACCATGATTTTGTTGAACTGGGCTGTGTTGGTATTTCCATCTGCTCTAACAAAATCATAGTTTTAAGAATGGATGTTAAACTTACAATAAATAGAAATGGAAAATAAATAAAAATTTTGTTTAAATATGTTTCGGTATAAAATAGCTCTAAAATATTAAACTTAATTAAAATTAACTCTTAAATTTATTTTAAATACTACAGCTAATGTAATTTTTTCAACAGAATCATTTGTTGGGTCGAGCATTTTTTTGCTTATTGGAAGGCGATAAGATTGAACAAGCTGATGCTCAATTCAATTTTGTTTTAAATCAATCATCAAATAATATACCAGCCCAATTAGGCAAAGCATGTATAGCATTTAATCGTAAAGATTATAGAGGTGCTTTGGCATATTATAAAAAAGCATTACGATCTAATCCAAAGTGTCCAGCAGATGTTCGATTAGGTATGGCTCATTGTTTTTTGAAGCTTGGGAATACTGATAAGGCCCGACTAGCATTTGAAAGAGCTCTGCAGTTGGATTCAAAGTGTGTTGGAGCCCTAGTAGGTCTTGCTATCATGAAGTTAAATGGTGAAAATCCAGGTGATATCAAGCTTGGTGTCAATATGTTGTCAAAAGCATATACAATAGATACAACAAATCCAATGGTACTAAATCATCTGTCCAATCATTTCTTTTTCAAGAAGGATTATGGAAAATCAGAATTGCTTGCAAGACATGCATTACAAAATACAGAAAATGAAGCAATGAGAGCAGAAAGTTGCTATCAAATGGCACGAGCTTTTCATGTACAGGTACATTTAAACAATTTTAAATGGAGTTCTTGAAAAATTTTTAAAACTGCATTTACCTCTTTTGTGTGCTAGACTATCAATATTATTGATATTGATGTTTATTTTGTATACTTTTTCTAAGTTTTTACTCTAGGATAGAAGTGCACAATGATACATCAAAAGGTCACAAATTATACCTAGTTGAAATATTACTTTTAAAATTTCATAAAATTCCTTTTGTTTATCATATAAGATATTTCTCAAAAATATATAAATATTGAAATTGGCAAATTTTGATATTTATTTATTATTGTTATTTTTAACAATATATCATTTTGAAATAAATAAATTAATGTGTTCATTTTTTTTCAAGTACCTTGTGTTTTTTCTATATGTACTTTTTTCTGACCATTTACCTACTTTGATAGTTTTTTTAAAATTTGAGAATGCTATCTTAAGCTTGAAACATTTATCATATTTGAATGTATTAATGAAAAAAACAATTTTATAAATGTTAGACATATATAGTGTATATCAAATACAAAAAAAAAGTATTAAAATTCATAACTTTGCAGCTTTGTATAGAAACTAAAAAACTATTTTGTTATTTTCCGGAATTATATACAGAATGATTTTTTTAACATAACCCACTCAATTACTTACAGAATAGAAATAATTTAAACAATTTTTTTTGGTTATCTTCAGTTAAAATTCAAATTTTTGAGTTAATGTATATATATATAATACACAAGGGATTACAAATACAGGTAGCTAATTGGTTTTTCATTATGTCGATATTCACAGGTACACAGCACTTATTATCAATGGTAGTAAGACTTTATAAATAGACTAGATGTCAATACAGAAAGTATATCTATTGATAGTCATAGTTGACAATAAACACTCCATGACTATGGCAGCGATGCAATAAAAAACCAATTAGCTACCTGTATTTGTAATCCCTTGTGTATTATACATGTATATTAACTCAAACATTTAAAACTTCAAATGTTTATATTTAATAAACAAATAAAGTTGTATTCAAAATTCAAATGCTATTTACTATTAAATTAAAAACTCAAACATTTTATTAAATTCAAAATATGTGTTCCCATTAAAAAAAACAAAGTTGACACCCTTACAAGGCATAAGAGATGAACTTAAAAAGTATTAAATAGCTAGTCACTCATGAATAATGTGTAAATAAAGATAAAAAAAAAATGTTTAAATTACTTTTATTCTGTAAGTAATTGAGTGGATTATGATAAAAAAAATCATTCTATATTTATATACTAGCAATTTAAATATGAATACAAACTTAACAATTTTGTTATTTATTTTTTATAAAAATCTTTTTTAGAACAACTATGACCAAGCTTTTCAATACTATTATCAAGCGACTCAATTTGCCCCTGTTACATTTGTACTTCCACATTATGGATTAGGTCAAATGTATATTTATGGTGGAGATATGGAAAATGTAAAATATTCATTAATTATTTATATTTATATATTTTAATCAGAATTATTATTACTTTTGTGCTTAATTATAGGCTGCACAATGTTTTGAAAAAGTTCTTAAGGCTCAACCTGGTAATTATGAAGCTATGAAAATTTTAGGTTCATTATATGCAGATTCAAAAAATCAGCAAAAACGGGATATTGCAAAAAGCCATTTAAAAAAAGTATTTTTTATAGTTTTTTCTGTTGATTTTATGTAAAAACTATATGTTAATTTCAGGTGACTGAACATTTTCCGGATGACATTGAAGCATGGGTAGAACTTGCTCAAATATTAGAACAGTCTGATTTACAAGCATCATTAGCTGCATATGCTAAAGCTATGAATCTTATTCGTAGTGGAGGCACTAAAGATATTCCTCCAGAAATACTAAACAATGTAGCTGCTTTAAATTACAGGTATAACTTAAGATTCAGAGAAAGTGTTGTTTTGAGGAAAGTCTATATTTTAAGTATTATAACAGTCAAGAGGAGAGTATGATCAATTGGTTAGCACCGTGCTTACTGCTCAATGTTATAAATTCATGATCCATTAATGGGTGACTCCATGAAAGAAATTAGTTCAGTAATCCCAGCTGCGGACAAACTGGCAATCTATCCCAGAGTATATAAAATTAAAAACCTTGTTAGAAGAGGCTGCAATGTGTCTTAATAGTCCATAAAAATGAATGAAAATAATCATCTCAAACATATTTTATATAATAGTTGAAAGTGTATTATATTAGTGTAACATAATATAAGCTTCAGACATAAAAGAGTTGAGAAGAGCGAGCTGCTAATCCTATATTAATGTATTTATAAAAATGTTTATATGGAACACCTTAACCATGTTTGACATGTTTGAAGTGTTCTCAAAAATGATTTGTTTTGATCAATAAATTATTAAAAAATAATGGTAGTATAAAATTTAAAAACAAAAAAAATAGAATTTAGCCCCTTTTGTGCTTCTTTTTTCACATTATTTCCAGTATAGTTTTCGAGACTAGCCATCATTCTCCAGTGGCCACACAATGAAAATGGTTAAAATTACTGATTACTATTGTTAATCTGTTATGATATCAATTTTCTTAGATAGTTCAAATAAAAGGTATAAATTACCAGGGTTTGAAATAAAAATTTTCTTTTTGTTTTTATGCTATAAGTTTTGAAAAATTTAAGTTTTATTTGTTTAATTTTAAGAGAATGTTTTAATTAATTTATTTTAACCCTTTTTCAAAAATGACTGATTTTTTTTTTTAATTATTTTTATGTAAACTTATTGTTTTTCAAGAAAATTTTACTTAGCAAACCTATTTACAATTCTTAATCTCGTCACAATTCTCAATATACAATGTCAGTCATTTAATCATTTAGTATATCAATAAAATATTTTAGGTATATAATATTATTGTGCAAATTAGTATAGCTAGTAAATTCTGATACATAAAAAAAAACTAAATAATAAGCAATAGTTATTACCTATTTAAATAGATAAAAAATAAATATTCAGGTTATTTTAAACATATTTTTTAAGTTAATTTCCAGGATATAATAACTTAGTGTCTATATAATTATCTATTTATTTTATCTGCAAGTAAGCTAAGAAATATTTTTTGTTTTATTTTAATAACGAGTATTTTTAATAATTCAGTTCTTTTTAATTTAACTATCTGTGTTGATTTTAAAAATGATGCCTAATAATAATGAATATGTTTTAAAAATAATTTGGTTGCTGAATTAATAGTTACTTTAGGTAAATATTCTTAAAGTATTATATTACTATTTTTTTGCCTTAAAGATTAGGAAATTTGGATGAATCACGTTTAAAACTTGAAGAATCATTAAGTTTGTCAAAAAAAATGGTGGAAGCTGATCCACAACATTATAATTCTATTGCTGTGACAACAACTTATAATTTAGCTCGTATTTTTGAAGCACAATGTCAATTTCAAAAAGCTGAAACACTATACAAAGATATACTTAAAGAGCATCCAAATTACATTGATTGTAAGGTATATTTAAAGAATTATTGAATAAAAAATTATTATTTTTTTATTATTAATAAGGTTATTTGCGTTTGGGATGTATGGCTAGAGATCGTAATCAAATATATGAAGCTTCTGATTGGTTTAAAGAAGCTTTACGTATTGATAATGAACATCCTGATGCATGGTCTTTACTTGGAAATTTGCACTTGGCAAAAATGGAATGGGGTCCAGGTCAAAAAAAATTTGAACGAGTTTTAAAAGTTAGCTATATAAATGTATATATTATATAGATATTATTTCTAATATTTATATATTTTTTTCCAGAATCCAACCACATTAAATGATTCATATTCACTTATTGCATTAGGAAATGTATGGCTTCAAACCTTACACCAACCCACTAGAAATAAAGAACAAGAGAAAAGACATCAAGACTTAGCTTTACAATTTTTTACCAAAGTATTAAAAAATGATCCTAGAAACATATGGGCTGCTAATGGAATAGGTCAGTAGTATTTATATTTGATTTTACATTAATTTTTGCATTTTTTATGATGCAATATAGTTTAAATTTAAAATTTTTTTAACCTTTTTAAAAAAACTGACATTTGGGTACATTATCAATGTATACATTTAATATTCGAATATGGTTGTGTTCAAACAATTATTGTACTTAGAAATTTTATTTTATTCTTATAAAAAGTATACTATAAGAAAGATGGCTATTTTGAGTATTTAGTAAAAATTTAATTGAGCTTTGTGTATTTTAAACAAACTTATAAAATATAGTAAATTTTTAAGGAAATTTTGCTAATTTTTACTTAATTTATAAAAGAAAAATTATCAAAACATTTTTCTTTTTAGTTTTGATGCGAAGCTGAGAAGATATTAATTTTTTTATAATGTGTTTTTTTTTTTTGTCTGTTACCACTTTTTCTCAGCTCTCACCAAACCGATTCTTTTAACAATACGTCAAAAGGTCACAAATCTACTCAAACGAAATTTCCTTTTAAATTGAAAAAATTTCCCTCGATCCCCATAAATGGGGAAAGTCTATAAAAAAAAATTACATATTTAAAAAACGCAAATTTTTGATATTTTTTCAATTTTTTTTATTTAAAACTACCATACTTTTTTAAAAATGATCAAATCAATATAATTGTTTTTCTATAGTTACGTAAGATATTTACCTATCATTTTGTATATTTTTTTTATAGATTTGACCCTTTACCTGCCCACAGGGGGGAATTTAAAATTCTTTTTTACAAAAAAAAATAATTTTTTCAACTTAACTTTTGAAAATGTTTCGGAAATACTGACACTTTTATATATATTTTAAATTAAAGCTAATGTAATATACTTTATCATAGAAAAAAAAATTTCGGACTTTATTTTGTCTTCATGGTGAAAATGATTACTGTATGCAATCTTGTTGTTAAAATTTTGATTTAGTATTTTATTTATAATGCTTTACAAAAGTTTTTGAGTTATACAATTTCCTGACTGCATATTAATCTTAATACTATTTTTTTATTCTCTTAAAATATTGTATTTAATAATGTAAATTTAAAATTTGAAGTTGTCTAGATGGTACCACATCCATGGTTTGAAGGCAGATAGTGGTATCATTTAGTATTATAAGAAGGGAAAATTAAATTAAGTTGTGAGTCGGCTAGGACGTGTTATTATGTGCATTTTAATTCATATGTGTATTTTGCTTTATATATGTTATTTTGTTTGTGAATATTTAACAGGGCTTTTATGTGTGAATAAATATATATGTATTAAATATTAGTATTGTGTCTTTCCTCTATTCCTGTGGTTGTCTTTTGTATTTGCCACATATATATATTTCAAAAAATATTAAAAACATTCTGGGATAAAAAATTAAAAATTGAAAACATTAAGTATAATATTAGTTTTATTATTATAAAATTTAAAAATAAAATAAAATATGCACAAAGCTTATTTAACAAAAAGTATCACTTATCACTCTTGTGTCCTACACCATTGAAAATATTATCAGTAAAAATTATAGTATTCTTGTTGCTTTCAAAAGCTCATTTAACTATAAAATTTGAAAAAAAATATCAAAATCTAACATTTTTAACAGTTGTAACTTTTTGAGGCGTATTATTTTATTTGTTGGATTGAGAGAAATGTTAACAAATTATGGCACTGTTAGTTTCAATTAAAATAACTTGTGATCTTTTGGCATATTGTTGAGTAATATTGGATCATTTAATGCGGAATATTGAAATAGCCGGGGAAAAAATGTTATAGTAAGAATAATATTTTATCAACTATGCATTGAAGCTAAAAATGTATAAATCAACAAATAAATAAATATAAACTCTAATGTAATAATAGTTATTCTATAAACTTTAAATGTTATTCATTTTTTTATTTATAACCTTAGGTTGTGTTATGGCTCATAAACATTGCATTAATGAAGCTAGAGATATCTTTGCTCAAGTAAGAGAAGCTACAGCAGATTTTTGTGATGTCTGGTTGAATATTGCTCATATTTATATTGAACAAAAACAGTATATAAGTGCAATTCAAATGGTAAATAATAGTATTAGATACAATTTAAATCATTAAAAAATGTCAATAAAGTTGAAGTATTTTTTTTATTATTTTAGTATGAAAATTGTATGAAAAAGTTTTTTAAACATGATAGTGTTGAAGTACTTCAATACCTTGGACGAGCTTACTATAGAGCAGGAAAACTTAAAGAAGCAAAAGTTGTGTTTCTGAAAGTAATAATTTTCTTAAATTAAAATTTTTGTTTAGTTAAATATTGTTTTTTTTAATTGTAGGCTCGCCGAGTTGCTCCTCAAGATACTGTAATTATTTATAATATTGCTTTTGTTCTTCAAAAATTAGCTGCACAAATTCTTAAAGATGAAAAATCTAATTTGAAAGATGTTCTTCAAGCTGTTCATGAATTAGGACTTTCTCATAAGTAAGACATAACTAATTTTTAGTATTGATTTTATTTACTAAATTATTAAAAATAATTTAAGGTATTTTCAATACTTGTCTGTGCATGGTGATCGTATGCGATATGATGTAGGACTAGCAGATATTGAAGCGAAACAGTGTCAAGATTTATTGTCACAAGCACAGTATCATGTGGCACGTGCTCGTAAAATGGATAATGATGAAAAAGAAATGCGACGTAAACAGGAAGAAGAACGTGAAGCATTCAAAATCAAACAACTTGAAGAACAAACTAAAGCACTTAAGAAACAAGAAGAACAAAGAAGAGAAATGTTACTTAAAAGACAAGAATATAGAGAAAAAACAAAAAATGCTCTTGTTTTTGATTCAATACAAGAAAAACCTAAAAGTAAAGGAAAACGTAGAGATAACTATGGGTCAGATTCAGGTGGTAGTATTGCATCAGAACCAGATGGAAATAAAAGCCCAAAGCTTATGAAATCTAAGAAACTAAGAAAAAGGTAATATATTAATTAGTTTCCAAAAAAAATTAATTCTATTAGGTAACAAATAAACTTTATAATCAGCTCAGTTATGTAGACAGGGGGAAATGCCTCCCATTGATAGAAATAAACAAAAAAAAATAATGATATTGTTCCTGAAATTTATATTCACAATTTTATTGTAAATTTTTGGCTTTTTATTTAGTTAAACATTTTTATATTTTAGGTTATAAATTAATATTTTCAATATATTTTTTAATTTTAAATATTAGCCATAAGTTATTAATTCTTATTACATTAAAAAAAATATGGTATTTTGTAGATTTATGGACATAATATCTAGACTTTTAAAGAAAACTAGTATAGAATATTTTGATATAATTTTTTTTTAATTATAATTGATATATTTGGTATAGTGGAACTTTAGGAGGTGATAAAGAAAAGAAAAGGAAAGGTGGATCAAAACGAAGACGTGATAGTAATGTCTCAGGTGGATCTGGAAGTGATAGACCTATATCAAAGAAGGGGCGTTCTTCTGTAAGTTAAAATTTGTACTTATATTTTTAAATCTAAGTAACTTAATTTCACAGTAAAATTTAAATATTTAAATTTTCACAAAAAGAAGAAGTTATAAACTATTAAAAATATATGTTTCAATCCTTACAAATCCAAACACATTTGTATGTAATTAGGTTTTCATTCTGTAAGTTAACAATGGTAAACCACTTTTGAATCAAATGTTTAAACAACAATAACAATGAACCAACATTAAAATTTAATATAATATATTAAAATAGATCAGTGGTCGGCAACCGGCGGCCCGCGGGCCGTATCCGGCCCGCGTGGCTATTGAATACGGCCCGCTTTAAATTCTAAATCGATTAATTTAATTGAATATCATTTTGTATAAATATAATTGAACGTTGCGTTTTTGGTACGGGTATTTTATATAAGTCATATTATTATTTTAAGTTTTAGATAGTATTTTTTTGCATAATAAATAATGTAATTATAAATTTTTTTTTTTTATCTGGCCCGCGAACTCTTTTTAATTTGTAAATGTGGCCCGAGAATTAAAAAAGGTTGCCGACCACTGAAATAGATGATAGTAAAAATATTTCACTAAGAATGATATAAAAAAATAACCCAAATTTTTTTAGTATATAAAAACAATTCTAGTAAAATGAATTTATCGGAAATATTTTATCTCAATTTTATAGTTTTCACATCTAAAATATTAAATTAACCCCAATATTCATTAGCATAGTTTTCATTGGAGGCTTTAGCCCCTATTGACATATTTGTATCCTCCATTAATGAACTGAATTTTTTTGGAGTAGAGAGTGGGAGATAAAGTTATGCCGTAGAAAAGTTTCCTGTCAGGATTTTTTTTTATTAAATTTTTATAATGTTCCAAAAAATTTACCTTCTTTAAACCTACATTAAATTAAAACTGATGCAATGTATTTTAAGATGAAGAAAGAAAATCTATCCGATATCTTGAGTAAACAATTTTATAATTATATTTATATTATCTTTTTTATTAATCTAGACTCAAAGTAAAAAAGGTCCTATGTTGTCATCAAAACAAAAACTTAGAGTTGTATCAAAAGCAACTATTTCAACTAGCGAGGATGATAGTAGTGATGGTGAAGTTAAAAAAAGAATTTCTGGACAGTTAGTAAAAATATTCTATTGTATTTAAAGATATATTTAGTTGCAAAAAAATTACAGTATATTTTTTTCTTTTATCAAATTTAGAAATTCAAGAAAAAGTAGAAAATCCCACTCTAGGTAAGTAAATTATTTTCAAATACAGGATTTGAAATAATAATTTTTTTATGAATATTTTTTTGGTTTTTGTTAGTTACATATGTATCCTAACTGATAAATTAAGAAATATATGTAACAAAAAAAACCAAAAAAAAATTTTCTGATTATTGTATTTATTTTATAAAGAACTAAATATGTAATAATAAATGAATCATTCTATACATGTGTGTGCTAGAGATTAACTAAAAAATTCAATTTTTTTTTTTTTTTAATGAATTATTTTTTGAAATATTCATTATAAAAAAATTTCTGTAGTAATACAGTAGTAGTTAAGATATAGTAATACACTACAAAGTGGAATTTAATTAAAGTGGACTTAGACTTTTTTCTCAAGTACAAAAATTAATTTGATGTTCGAATGTTGTTGGTAAAAGTTTTATCCAGAAGCACCCCTCTATCAAAAATAAGTTTGTTTCATGTTATAAATTTTTTTTCTTTTTGCTTATTAATTTAAGAGACAAGCATAAAAACAGGCTCCAAGTTTCCAACTACCAAAAATAAAATTGTACTTTTATTTTAATAACATTTTGTCTCTATCACTTTAAAGTTGATACATCGCTACTGATTATAATATAACAAAATTACTAACATTTTTTTTCAAGTTCGGAATCACGTTCAAGATCAGGTAGTCGAGTCTCTAGAATGTCGTCTCAATCACCATCTAATTCACGTAAATCAAGATCTAAAAGTGCATCTCGTAGTCATTCTAGATCTCGTTCTAGAAGCCGGTCACAATCGGGTAGCCAATCACGTTCAGTGAGTCGCTCTTCTTCTAGAAGTCATTCTCGTAGTCCTTCTAGATCAGTTAGTAGATGTAAATCTCGATCTGAAAGTGGTTCAAAATCACGTTCAAACTCACGATCTCGTAGTAAATCTAAGTCACGAGCACGATCAAAGTCTGGTAGTTGTTCAGTTTCTCCAAATCGCGCAAGAAGTAGATCAAGATCAAATTCTCCTACTAGGAGATCAGCTAGTAATTCACATTCGGATTCCAGGTACATATCATTATTTTAACAGAATATTATAGCATAGTATTATATAGTCAGTGCCGTCCCTACAATTTTTCTAAAAAAATATGATACTTTTCGTACAAAATACAGAACTTTGTTGTGTGCCTTGATCTTAAAATGGCAGTGCCTGATGCTATCTCACCACCGCAGAATAAACTAGGATTATTTTATTTTTACATAAAATTTCATCATACCTAGTATAAATTTTTATTGTCATTACTAAATAGAAAAAACATGTTTGTTCCCGTAATTCGATCAACCGAAATTTGTTGTTGATATAAAACAGATAATCTATTCGATATTACAAAATATATTTAAAATACCTTCTCAACTTCACATTGAAGCTAAAAAAAAAAACTATTATATTATATTTTAAAATTGGCCAATAATAGTTTTCATAACTCTTCAAGATAAGGACAATTCTTAAAAATTGATTCTTTTTAATTTCACTAATTAAAACCCTTTTTTTAAAGCTTATAAAAATGATCTATAAAAAAGTTTGAGAATAATATGACTAGGTTAAGATGTGCTGTAAAGTCTTAAGCTGATTAAATTGTTAATTCAAAAAAGTTCATCAAAATCGATATGTTTTTACTCATAGTTACAGTTATTTAATCAACAAATAGAAAATATTAAGAATTATACAAAAATATAATTTTTATATACTTTGAACATTCCTAGTCAATGTAATTACTATTTAGAATAAAAAATATGTAAAACTCAAAATTTTGGAAATAATATATTTTTATAATTTTTACTATAGAAATGAAAAATTTGTACAATGTAAGTGTACATTCTTTTAGATTATTTAATGATGAAATAATATCAGATAAATTTTATATAAATTTTTCAAGTGAGCATAAATAAAGTTATAAATTCCTATCATTTAATGATAAAAAAAGGTTAGGCACATGATTATTAGAAAAATTAAATAATTTTTCATTGAATAGATATCATTATTTGAGACTACTGATAATGTTCTATCAAAGCAAACCATAAAATCTAAATTGAAAAAAAGCATTAATATCGTTTTTCTCCTGTACCCTTTATATGTTACTAAATATATATTAAATGTATTGATATTTTTAAATTTTTAATAATTAATTTTATTTTTTCAGAAGTGCGTCAAGATCAAGGTCTGCCACACCAACCCTTTGATCTATTAAGAAATTTAAGAGTATACCTTAATTTTTGGCTAAATTTTTAATTATGTATTTTTCATTTTAGAGAAATATCATAACAAAATAGTTATTATAAATAATCATAATTAATATATATATATATATTAAAATATTTATACCTCACTTACATTTGTAATTTTAAATTGATATTATTTAAAAATAGATTGACTTGACACTTTTTATAAACAAAATGTATTCAACGTTTTTCTAGGAGAAATTTGTTCTCTCTTTATATATATTTATACAGAGTGATCTTTTAACACTAGCCATTCTATTTCTCTTAAAATAATAACATTTTTGTGAATTTCATTTTTGGCTTTTGTTAATTACACATGTATTTCAATTTATTATTTGCTATAAAATATTTTTATGTTCTTCCCTTATGCGTTATGGGGGTGTAAACTTTATTTTTTTAATTATGTAATTAAGAATAATATTAATCGACAATGACTTTTGGATTATTATTTCAGAAGTTAACTATATTATTATACTCTGATGGGAAAAGTTATTATAACACTATTATTATTCTAAGAGAAATTTAGTAACTGATGTTAAAATAATTTCTGTATATATACACATATAAATATTATGGTGTATAATAAGTAAGGAAACAGGTAAATTGTTACAAACAATAAAAATAATGGCAACCCATTTCCATATTTACTTAACATACTATATATGTTTATATCAATGATATAATAAAATAAAAACAGAGGCCAATCAATCAATAATGTACAAAAAGCGATAGACAGGAAAATGTTCAATTATAATTGAAAATTTTAAATTAATATTTTATAAAATAAACTTGTATCTGACTTTTATGTATACAATATATATTAGTCAAGATATAATATAAATGAATATATATATATTATATCTTGAATTTACCAACTTTTATATTTAAATAAACTATTTTAAGAAAATTATTAAAACCAAACTAAGTTATTCTGTTACCCCAAAAATCAAATTAAAAAAAGTTGTGTTCAAGAATTTTTGTATAAATCAAAAATAAACATCATTGGTGTTAAGTTAAAAATATCAGCTTTTTAACCATTTAAAAAAATTACCTATTATAGGCATACAACAAAGTATGCAAGATATTTTATTAAATTATTTTATGGAGGAATTTAATTAAATTTGACTTACAATAATATTTAAAAGATGTCAATTTGTTCAATTTAGGTGTTTTTTTTAGGCAATATACTCTTTATTTTTTCCTCTTGTATACAACCTTAGATTTTTTAAAAAGATCTGTGATACCATACATTTAATATAATGTAATAGAACAAGGAAAAAAACACTTTTCTAGGAAAATTACTTGGCGTGCTCGGATTTTCAAAATTTTTTTTTCAACGAATGTACCCGGTCATCAGACTTCAGGAAAATTATTGGCGAAGGTCGGAAAATTTTTGGCGATAGTCCGCGAGCGTTTTAAAATTTCGACCGTTTTTGAGAAAAACGCTCGCTGACGCCAGCGTTTTACGACTTAAAGCTTGAAATTTTCATCAGATCCTCCCAACGACATTCCTGAGATATAATAAAAAAATCAATTCAATCCGTTCATTTTTCACCGTTTTACAAACTTTTTTTTTTTTTAAGTCCACGGGCATGGTTTGAATATGCGCAGTGATTCATATCTGCTCATACGTTTATTATGAACCTTAATTATATGGTGTAATATCTATTTTTATTAGGACACTATTTTGCATTTGCACATAGCACTATATTTTATCGAGGAATATTAAATGTTATATATAAATTTCAAGACTGTTATAATTATATAAGTTTGTACTTTCATTATCAATAATGTACATTATTAATAATCTTTTTTTTCTCATATATGATGTATGAGTCTATGAGTTTATTGTTTAAATTGAGATTCATCTATGACAACTATGCTGTCCAACGTTAAATCGCAGTTACCAATATTTTTATCAAAATTAAATTTGTTACATAGTCCACGTATAATAACCTGCTGAATTTTTTTAAAATTATTCTACAATATAAACTCAAATATAATTTGAATATTAATAATTTTTGTGTATTTAAGGGAGATATGGGCTTCCCTTGAACCAGCGCTATCAATATTTTTTAGTCAACTTCTAATAAATAAGGACCTAATGTCCTTTTTTTCATCATTACTTTAATTTTTAGCAAAAAAAAATTCTATAACATGTTTAACAAAGTAAAAAATATTAAATACACTCCTAAAATAATTTTTGAATAGGCCAAAAGGGAATATCTCATTTACAAACGTCAACCTTATACCCAATACATTTTACTATATTCTCTTTTTGAATTTTCTTGATTTTAATAAAAACATTTTCAATATATTTTTGTTACACTGATTCTGATGTAATATTTTTTCTGCAAAACACTTATCGTGCCCGGCGTAGGCGGGTACCCCTACCGGAATCAGTGGCCTACTTATGATGACAGCCCGAAGAGGCTTACGCGCCGAAGGCTCATAGGGCTTCGGGTCTGGGACGGAGCCCCAGCTAGGCGGAGACTAGTTTAACTTTTAAACAGTCGCGTGGGGGTGCAGCATACTCCCAAATAAATAAAAACGGATGTATTATATTGCATAAAAGGTGTACATAGATATAAATTTAGAAGATGGTTTTTATAGTAATATTGAATAGATTTTCATAAATAAATACCTTCGCAAAAAAAATGTATGACTTAAAATATTCATCAAAGTTGAAATGGGTTATATTGACCCCCACGCGACTTGTAACGTTATAATTTTTTTTTGGACTTGTATTTTTTTCAAAAAATCGTTTTATCGTAAATGCAATGTTATAATCGATATAATATTGTGGAATTGGGATTATGTGGATCTGCCACCGATTGTGCAATTAAGTTTTAAAAATAAATAATCTATTGAGAATTTCCACTACTCGATGATACGGAACAAATACGAACAAAACATCCCGTCGCAATGTGGACACATTGATTATCGGTGCCTCATTTACAATTACCACTATTCACAATTACCCCTCCTGACCCTACTCGTATTATAATAATTAAATTGTATTGTAATATTAATAATAAAAAAATTCAATTCAGAAAAATGATAATGTAAATACACATAAAACTAATAAATATAAGCCGTGTTTGAGCTCAAATAAATACAAGAAAAATTAATAAAAATATATTTTGTAATAGTAAAAGCTTTTATTTACCGTCTTAAATATAAGATTTTGCAGTTAAAATAATTTTTTTACAAACCAAAAGTTTTTAATGAAATTTTGAAAATTAAATTTTTTTTTTCGTAATATAATTTTTAGTAATGTACATAATTTTGTAATTTATTTATTTTTTAATTTTTATCCATATTTATATATCATATGGTAACAAATATTGTCTTTGAATTAAAAAAAATGAACTTTTTTATACATATTTTATACTTTTTTAGAAATGGGGTCTAATAGAACCCCACGCGACTATGAACGTTAAAAATAGGTACGCTTAAGGGTTAATATAATATAGATTCACCTAATTTTTGATAAATGATATTTTACTTAAAAATATACAATTCAATTAATTTGAAATGTCGTGTTGCCCTCATTGTCAATAAATTTAATAAAATTGATAGAAAAGATAATTTATGTAAAAATGTATTAGTGCTAAAAAATATTATAGCACTCATCTATTTGACTGGAGGCATAGACTCCAGTATAGTTATTATATGATTGTACAGTTAAAGAACAAACGATATTATTTAATATCGTTTTTAATTCATAGAAAACGGATTTTTATAAAAAAAATATATTTAATAAATGCATTTTAAACGTGTTGAAACTAGTGATGGGCATTTTCGAATACTTTAAACTATCGAATAATATTCGATAGTTTTTTAAAACTGTCGAATAACTATTCGAATTGTTTTTATACAACCGAATAGTTAATTTTAGCATAGACTATCAAATAGTTTTTAAAACTATTTGAATATATTGTGTAACTATCGAATATTTTTACTATTATTAGACAACACCACGCTATTACAGTCCGATAGGATCTTGAAGTACATTGTGTCAGTTCAGCTTTAAGTAAGTTGTCCTAGTAAAATAGTTTAATTACTGGGCAATAAAGTTCTATTTTACACAGAGAATACCCTCTTTTCATGTGTGGGAGAACATAAATATATTTATATATAGGAGATGCGTGTACATCCATTTTTTCCTCGACTTTATCCCAACTACTATTATTTAGGATTAAACTGAGGAATACCAATAACGGCATTTATTGTATCATACTTTTAGCTTCGATGCGAAGCTGAGAAGGTATTGGTTTTACTATGATATGTTTTTTTTTTTTTTTTTTTTTTTTTTTTTTT